CACTTTAGCTCAAGTTTCAGTGAGCTCTTTGCTAAAGCAAAGTACATTTTCCTTTTTTGCTGCATCCTGTCTGGGTACATGTTGTTACACTTGGAGCCGTGAGTGCAGGACTGCCATTTGCAATGTTAATTGTAATCAAGATATTTGTTTCTTTCAAAAGAATCAGACATTGGATTTCAGTTCAGACAACCGAAATTTTGGACAAGGCAATATTGTCGTGGTGGCAGACTTCTCGAAAACACAGAGGAAGAAGCGAGCCATTGAGACCCCCCTGTTTCCATGGGTTATCATTTTTCCAAAATTAGTAACTTAGAAAGTCCGAAGAAATAGCAAAGAAACCTCCCTGGTTTGTTCTGCTTTCTAGCTGCTAGATCTAACGTAAGCCTCACACTGTTTTCATGAAGGAAAGTGAAATAGCTTATTGTGAAGAGGGGCTTTTGCATGTCTCAATCTCATCTTTAGTTTTTCTTATCACAAAGCTGGGTTTCTTTGCTTGTCTCTTTTCATGGGATAAATTCTGGCTCTGTCAAGGCTCTGCCTTATTCTGGGACCTTCCCGATTCCTGTGTTCCAGGTCCCTCCTGAGATTTGTCCCTCTGCATGCTCAGTAGGTGGGGCCCATCTAGACTCAGTCACGGAGCAGTAGGAGGGCGTGAGAGGTCTTAAGTTTCTTCCTAAAGAGATTGATGGTCAGATTCAGCCTGACATAACACCATGCAGTTGTCTGTCACGAGTCACAGAGCTAGAAAAGCCAGGCCCTTGCATACAACTTCAGGAAGGTAAGTAAGAAGCATTTTCAGACACATCTCAACTGCTTCCTCATCCTTCCCAACCCCCACCCCATTGTTGTTTGGGTTTTTAGAGATGTTTAAGAGAAAAGGAGGCGATAATAAAGACACTCTACTACTTTTGCTGTGTCTAGAATCCTCATTTATGTTGAAAAGAGAGTCAATTTATCATTGCCCTCAGTATTTCCATGAGAAGACTTTACTCATCTCCACGGAGAAGGGAGTGGTCAAGCAAATGCTTCTCCATCCACCCATGGAGGAGAAGCAACCACTTGAAAGGCAGAGTGCCTGAGTCTGTCACTCCTCCTCTCTCCGCCTGCCTGGTAGGATGTGTTGCCACACACCTGTGGTCCCTGAAGGAGGCTGCATGCATAGACCTGGGGCCGGAACATATGCCTTCCAAGCAATAGGTTTGTGAGTGGAAGGCAAGAAGGGGCCTCAGGTCCATGGTTCAGGGGAAGCCCTGTATTCGGACAATTATCAGGCCCTCCCTCAGCTGTTAATAAAGCTGACATTTGGCTCATGGGTCTTAGAATATGACTCCATTTGTATGAACCTCCAAGGAAAGTGGGGTGAGGGCTTGTATTTCCCAGACTCCTGACAATGAATTGCTCCTGGAAAGCTTTGCTTGGATGTTTCTCAGGCACTTCAAACTCAGTCTGCCTTCAAGTGAGCTCCCGCTCACTCCTGTGTTTTCTGTCTTGGCGATTGGCCTCAGTATTCTTGTGGTAGCCCAGGCTTAAATTCTGGATGTCAGAGCATGGGAGGCCTTTTGTGAGTTTACTTTTTTTTTTGAGATAGGGTCTCACTCTGTTGCCTGGGCTAGAGTGCAGTGGTGTGATCACAGCTCACTGCAACCTCAAACTCTTAGTCTTAAGCGATCCTCCTGCCTCAGTCTCCCGAGTAGCTGGGACTACAGGCATATGCCATCACGCTCGGCTAATTTTTCTATTTTTTGTGGAGACGGCATCTCGCTACGTTGCCCAAGCTGGTCTCCATCTCCTAAGCTCGAGTGATCCTCCCGCCTCGGCCTCCCAAAGTAATAGGATTGCAGATGTGAGCCATGCACTCGGCCAGAGCCTACTTTTTGAGTCTCCTTTAGCACCGTCCTTGTGCATTGGCCCTTTAACTGGGGGCATCCTGCTCATCACTCAGGCATCAGCTGACGCATCTCCTGCTTCCCAGTCTTTGCTGACACACAAAGCTAAGTCTTCTGTAGTCCCCATACTTTCCGACCACAGCCCACTGAAGCACATTTGCCTGGTCAATTCCCTGCCACTCCTGCTAGACCTCAGGCTCTTCGTAAGCAGGGTCTGTGTCTTGTTCATCCCTGAATACCAGCACTAGCACAGGGCCTGCCTGTAGTAGCTGTTCAATAAATATGTCTTGAACAAATAACATTTAAGCCTAAGAGTACCTGAGGCTGTATAGTAAGTGGTTACAATCCCAGCTTTGGAAATTCAGGCCTGGGTTCAGACCCTGCTATTTGCGTGACCTTGGGGGAGCTCCTTAACTTCTTGATCTTTGATTTCTTTATCAAGAAGATTGGGATAATAACTACTTCCTAGAGCTGTGATGATGAATTGCAATAATCCATGCAAAGCCCTTCGAGCAGTGTATGACATAGTAAATGTTGAATGCATCATAGTATCTATAAACAACAATAGCAACAATAATACGGTTATCCTTAATGGAAGGGAGAAGGCTATAAGAAATAGTTGGAACTAAAAATCAGGCATGTTGAATGCCTGCGTGATGGACAGGTGGGGAGTTGGTTGGGATAAAATGTAGGAGCAGATAGGATTTCCTGGGAGAGAATGAACAGGGAGGGAAAAATGGTCAGGGGAAATGAAGACAGAACCTTGAAAAATCCTATGTTGGAGCGATAAAAGGAATCAACACAGGAAAGAGAGAAAGAATGATTAAAAGTAGCAGATTGCAGCTTCTCAGATGCCAGGGACAGGAGTTTTAAGAGGTAGTCAAGGGTGCCACGCTGGGCAGAAGGTTAATAAGGAGAAGACTAGAAAAGGCAGCCAGAATCTGCCAAATGGGAGAATGTTCACACCTTTAGGCACCAGCCATTTCAGTAGAGTCAGAGGAAGAAGCCACACTCCGCAAGAGGTTAGAGAAGGCCAGATCAGGGACAAAGCAGGCACACTAAGACAGTTTGTTGTGCTACATTGTGTGCTTCTGTAGCGTGGATTATTTGTGGGTCAGTAGATGACTGATGTCAGCGTGATGTGGAAGTCACATTGGTTCATAGGTGGGTTTTGCTCTCAGCATGTGAATGTTTTGCATCACTGGCTAATAGCAGCTGAAAGCAAAGTACTCAAACAGCGGAAGATAGCAAGCCCTGAGGAACAGCGGGGCACACAGGACACTCAGTCACCCTATGTTCTTCCACTTAGCTGCTTGGTGCCTGCTCCGTCTCGAAGTGCTTTGCAGGTATTCCTTGCCGATCTTTGTGTATTCAGTCATTGATTCTGTGCCACTCAGGACCTCCAACCCTCTGAGTACTCCTTCTACCACACTCCCCCTTCCTTTTTTAAGGGAAAGGGCCATACTTACTAGAGTGTTTTTCCTTTTTTTTCCAAACTGTATCCAGCCTTATTAGTGATGCTTTTCATAAACCATCATGCTATTTCAGGCAGGACATGAGCAGACAGTAGTTAACAACATACAACAACTTTTAAACTCCCTTCTTCAATGGTCTAACAAAATCAGAAGGCCACTATAAAACCCAATGATGAAGTCTTCATTTGATGCTCTGCACAGGGAAAGTTTAGAGTGAGGGTTGACATTTCACATTTTGCGTGTTGTTTAGCAGCTTTTCACAAACCAACCCTGACTTTCAGGAAATGAAATGAAACCGGCAGAATTTATCTGAAGATCCACAGTGTAGAAGTGGAACCACTGCTTTTTTGAGGGACACCATCTCAGTGGTGTCACTGGAAAGTCCAGGTTGTTTGACATACTGGTAGCCAATTTTGGGGGATCAGATCCCAAGAGTTGTGTGGATTTAAGGGGGTCATGTTTATGCTGAAGGCAGAGAGAGAATAGATGACATAAAAATGAATTTTAGTTTTTCCATACCAAAGGCATCCGTGCCAAGGTGGCTGTGTGTGTCAGCATCAAGGAATTCCTCCTCCTGGGAGCCAAGAGGATGTCTCACGAAACTAGGAGGGAAAAGTGTTTTCTCCACATCAATTCAGCTTCGGAAACATTCTATTAGTGACATATGCCCCTTCCCCCAAAACAACAATGGAATGTTCTCTGTGCTAACAACATAGCTCAAAAGAAAAGAAAAGCAAAATCCTGCATTTTTATAAAGCTTGATAAAAAATAGTATTTCAAACTACACAGTTACCAGAAGTACATAGTTACCAAAAATGCACACACTTCCCTTGGCATCTCCAGCACCTTCAGCTTTCTGTGCCTTTCTGGTCTGTTTCAACGTCTCCATTTTCTGCAGAGCTATTTCCCTCCTTGCCAGTGCCAGCTTTCCCCTTTTCCCTTTGGGTGCCTTGTCCCCTTTCTTTGCAGGGGCCTTTTTAGGTCTGGCCTCTGGCTTTGGAGGAGCAGGTTTAGCCGACAACCTTGGAGATCTTCTCTGTGTTTGCCCTTCACCTTGGCTTTATCTCCTTCAGCCTTTCTTTTGGACACGGTGGTGATGGCGGGTCGGCGCTGGTGGCAGGACGTGCGCACTGGCCGCGGGGATGCGGTGGCATGCAGGCTGTGGTCGATCCTGGTGGTTGTTCTTGCCTCTTCTTCTTCACACTGCTCCTAGAGTGTTTCTTTGTTAGGAGTTTGACATTTAAAAAATTTTCAGTGTTTTTTTAAAGATGATGATTGTTTTTGTTAGTGCTTGAGTTACAATCTTAATTTCTTTTCCAAGCCTATTTTTCTGATAAGCCCTGTTATTTTTAGAGTTTGATCGTATGAAGCATGAGTTTTTTGGCAATATGTGTGTCCAATTACAGGAGAAATTCCCATGATACCTTTTCTAAGGTTGAATAACACTGGAAGGAGGGGTGGGGGGGATAGTAGAATCTATGGAAGGTTTTTCCCAAGGATCAGCAGACCTAACCATTCTTGACTGCAACTTCGTCTAAATTAGTTTTCCCTTAGTGACTATCTTCCTAAATGCTCTTCATTGTATATTTAGGTGGTTGTATTTTTGCATTTCTGTCCTCTCTCTGATCCCTTACTACAGTCTGAACAAGTGTCCGAGGCTGAGTTACTCCCACAGCTGAACAGAGCCCCTTCGCAGGCTGCAGAAAGTAGTCCAGCTAAGAAGGTAAGGCCAGCACAAAGGTGCTGTTATGATGCCATGGTGAGTCTCACCCCGGGCTTCTTGCCTCTCTTAGCAGATCTATTGTTTTAAAGTTTCCATGTCCTGAAATGAATGTTAATGATCCAGATTTCCTGGAATGCAGGTTCTTTGTGAAGATTAGGGTCCTGAACATTCTTGGGTTAGAGCCCTGATGTCACTGACAGTTTGTACTCCCCTCCTCAACCTCCCAGCTAAACATGGTGGCTTTGCTTTTGGCAAGATCAAAAAGTGCTGTTGGGAGGGACAGGTGTCTTTAGTGAAATCCCACAAACCTGCTAAGCCTCTGTGCACCTCTTGGGGTGGGATAGTCTCTCCTTCTTGGTCTTTGTACCATGGTCTCCTCTTGCATCCTGGCATAGTCACCTCTGCCCGGCCATGCTATTGAGTTACCTGTCATTTGTTCAGTAAGCACCACTCACTCATCCTACTCTCCATTCATCTCCTCACCCTCCTCTGGCCCTTTCCCAGTCTCTCCCAGGCCCTTTTCCCATCAAAGAGAGCAGACCTTGGGCTCTTTTGCTTGACTTCATGTAGGAATTAGAGATAGGAGAATGATGAGCATATGACCAAGACCTTTACAAACTTCAAAACTTATATTCCGAAAAGCCCCCAAGTGAGTCAAGGCCGTACTTTGTCTTCAGTTAGAAAAGACCCTGTGGCGTGAGATGCACGCAGGGTCTATGTGAGTTTAAATGACAAGAAGAAGTAATAGACTGCTGGAAACATTTTTTTAAAAAGAAAGAAGACAGGGAAAGTCACTGGAATCTGATTCCTGCATCTTTCCAGATGACAAAAAGAGGTGATAGACTGCAAGCATTTAGAAAAAGAAAGAAAGAAAGACAGCTGGAATCTCATGCCTGTGTCCCTCCAGTTTGTGCCGAGCCACGAATCAGTGAATAGGGCACCTGCCTAATCTTGGGGATGGGGCTAGAGGAATGTGGGGCACTGGCATGATGGGTGGGGGGAGCGTTTAAGTCTTTAACTTTTTGGTTTTTTATTTTGTTTTTAATCTACAGGACACACCATATTCTCAGCCCCCATCAAAGCCCATTCGTAGGAAACTGAGACCTGAAAATCAAACTACAGAAAACCAAGAGCCTTCGACCACTGTAAGCGGGCCAGCTTCTGTAGCAACCGTGAAACCACATCCAACAGTCCAAAAGTAAGTAGTGTGGATAAGTTAGAACAAGGTCAGAAACTTCCTTTAAATTTGCATATATATGTATATGTAAACATGCTTACGTTTTTACTTATACCCATTGAAGGATTTTATGGTTGTTAGTCTTACCTTACTCATCTCTATCGTGGAATTAAAGTCTCCCATAGACGTTAGAAGGCTTCATAAGCTATAGGACTTAACCTGACGTGAAGGGGCAGGCGAGTCCTGGGCTGTGGTGTTTTGGTTTGGTTTGATTTTCTTCCCTTTCTCTTGTCTTCCTTTCCTTCCTACCCCCTTTTCCTTGTGTTGGCACAGATTTTCCTAGGAAGAAGACAGTATTATAAATGGCAGTTTTCCCTATCTGCCTGTCTTATCTCATGTCCCCCCCCCCCCAAGGTAAATGGCTAGCTCCATGACCCGAAGACCCAAGTTTCAGTAGATGTGGTATGTGATTCTTTTGCATCTCCATAAAGAGTTTCTCTTGTTGATCGTCTCAGCACAGAATTGGCACATGTAGAACCTCCATAATATCTATCTAACCAGCCAGAACAGATATTGAAGGGAGGCCAGAGACTGAGACAGTGCTGGTCTGGACAAGCCATCCTTCTCTAGACGCCTTTGGCTTTGAGAAGAGCCATCACTTGCCTTGCGTCAATTTCTCTAGTGAAATTGAGGGGAGGTGTTGGGGGCAGAAACCTGCTGCTGTCACTTGACTTCAAGTGAGCCTGACTGCTCACTCACAAAAATGCTCAAGATCCATCATGATGCTGCTCTGTGGGCCTTTCAGGTCTCAAAGGCTACTGTGGATTTTCTTCCACTTCCACCGTTGTGGAAAGAAACGCAAGTTCTGTGGGCGGTGTCAGCAACTCGCCTTTGAAGCCAAAGTCCCACTCTGAATCTCTGCAGCTCTCTTCTTCAGATGATTTTTTTTTTCAAATGAACAGTTCCTTGGTGGCATCAGTTCATAAAGGAAGTATATTTTGTCCTTCTTGTTCACTGAGAGCTTTGACCATCTTCCAGCCACCCTTAAGCCCAGGGGTTGGATCCCTGTCAGGGGCAGATGGCTAAATTTGCTTCCATGTTCTACCCCAGCATTCCACTTTAATCTCAACTTCATGCTAATTCTAGTCAGTCAGTAGCGGCTACAGTATCCTCCAAAGTGGATGACAGGGCATCTGGTGGAGTTCACACAGAAATCTTTTTCTTTTTTTTTTTAGGCAGCTTTATTAAAATATAATTCACATAGCATACAGTTCATCCTTTTAAATGTACAATTCAGTGGTTTTTAGTTTATTCACAAAGTCGCACAACCACCACCACAATCTAATTTTAGAACATTTTCATCATCCTGAAAAGAATCTCTATGCCCATTAACGGTCGCTCCTCATTCTCCCCTTCCCTCACCCCCAACCCCTGGCAACCACTAATCTACTGTCTGTCTCTATGGATTCACCTATTCTGGCCATTTCATGTAAATGGAATCATGTGACATGTAGTCTTTTGTGACTGGCTTTTTTTTTTTTTTACTTATTATAATGTTTTCAAGGTTCATTCATGTTGTACATGAATCAGAACTTAATTTTTTTGTTGCTGAATAAAATCTGAAAATGTCTTGAGTTTTTCTTAATTTCTAAAAGATATTTTTATGGGATGTAGAGTTCTAGGTTGGCAGATTTTTTTCTTTGGAGCTTGAAAAATATTTTGCCTCTTCCTTCTGGCTTTCTTCTTTTCTGATTAGAAGTCTGTTGTCATTTGAATTGTTTTCCCCATAGGGAAGGTATCATTTCTCTTTCTCTGCTTTCAAGAATTTTTTCTTTGACTTAATTTGAAAAGTTTGACTATAATTTAGCCTGTTTGAGTTTTGTTCAGCTTCTTGAATCTATACGTTTATGTCTTTTACCAAATTTGGGAATTTTTCAGCTAATATTCCTTCAAATGCTTTTTTAGTCCTCCTCCTTCTGCTCTTTTTCTGGAACTCACTGAGACAAATATTGGGTCTTAAAATCCTACAGGTCCTTGAGGCTCTGTTCAGTATTTTTCCCAGTCTGTTGTCTCTCTGTGTTCAACCTGGATAATTTCTGTCTTCATGTTTATTGATTCTGTCCTCTCCATTCTGCTATTGAGCCTATTCATTGAGGTTTTTATTTCAGCTGTCATCTTTTTCCATTCTAAAACTTCCACTTGGTTCTTCTTTATATCTTCTATTTTTTTGCTGATATTTTCTATTTTTTCATTTGTTTTAAATGTGCTTGTAATTGTCCATTGAAGCATTTTTATAATGGCCAAATTAAAATCCTAGTCAGATACTCCCACATCTGTGTCATCTAGGTATTGTCATCTGTTGATTATCTCTTCTCATTCAATTTGAGATTGCCTTTGTATGATCACTGATTTATTTTAATTGTATCCTGGACATTTTGGGTATTATGTTATGAATCTCTGGATCTTATTTAAATCTTCTATTTTAGCATGCCTCCTCTGACACTTCATCAGTGGGGGAAGAAGGGTGCCACCTTGTTTCTGCCAGGTGGGGATGGAAGTCCAGTTTCTGAACTTGGCCTCTGTTTATACCCTTAGGGATAGAAGAGTGTCTCATTACTGTTGAATGGGGGTGGTAGTTCAGTCTCTCCTCTAGGCCTTCACTGACACCAGCCTGGCTGGGAGAGGGAGAAGTGTTTGGTTATAGATCCTCATGAACACAGTGAGAAGAGACCTCTCTTCCACTGGAAGGTAGTGAAAGTACCCAGCGAATTTACTGCCATATGTTTCCCTGGGTATCAAATTCCCTAGCTGGTTTGCCTTGTTTAGTTCATCTTTCAGAGTTGTTTTATGTTTGTTTCGTGTATTATGTATAGATTTTGCTGTACTTAGTGGGAGAAATACAGATAATATTTCTACTCCATCTTGTCCTGGAAGAAATCCAATCTACATGTTTTAAAAGCAGATGAAGTCTCTTCCCTGACTCTATATGAATGAAAAAATTAATCTTTGACTTTGAACTTGCTGGGGAAAAGATTATGTGTTCTGCAGATTAGCAGAATGGCTACCATAGCGTATATTCTCATTAAATGTTAATCAGATCTTTACCGTGGTCACAATCCATTCTAGTTCTGTTGCTCTAGCCTTGAACCCATCTCCCAGTGATTGCAAATACGGTTGTTTTTCTTGGAGAACATCAATCGCTCTTTTGCTCCATGAATTCAGTATTTCTTGCTGTGGGATAAAAGGTTGTAGGTTATACCTGTGGTAACCACGTTGATTTATCATCCCAACCATGGACAGTTTTGAAAGGTGAAGAGGATGCTAATGATACAGACAGCCAGACAGACAGTGTAAGTAGACTGTAATGGGCAAAGTAGGACACATGGTCACCCTTGTCATACTTGTTCTGTTAATTAAAACATTCTGTAATTTTCTCAAGTGCCACAGGTGTACAGTGGTGTATACACATGCACACACACGTACTTAGGCATTCATGCCTAATAATAAGGGACAGTTAGCTAGCTATGTTAACGTAGGATTTTTGCTAAGGAGAATGTTCTTCTTTTTCTTTCTTTTTTTTTTTAATAGAGGTAATCAAATTAAAAGGAGAATATTCTTCTTTTCCTTCAGACTTATCCACAGGGGCCACCTGCAGGTCTTTTAAAGGCTATTAATTCTTACACAAAAAGGGCTTGCCAGTCAATATGGTTTGTCAGGAAGAAATACTTATCACAATGTCTTGGAATAAATGGAACACAAATGTTTGAAAAGGCACAATTCATGGCTTTTATGCAACTTATAAAATGGGAATTACTTCAGGTGTAAATAATTGATCCCAAAAAGTTTGTTTCATTTCGTGTATATCTGCCTGCCTATGAATATAAGATTTTATTTTTGGAGCCCTGTGATGTTAGCCCCTTGTTAGTTCAGCACCTCTCATGAGTCAGAGTTCTGACCTGCAAAGGTCCAGACCTCCAACTCCTTTTTTTCTTAAATGTTTGCACTTTTCTGTAGGCAATCTTCCAAACAGAAGAAGGCCATTCAGACTGCCATCCGCAAAAATAAAGAGGCAAACGCAGTGCTGGCCCGCTTGAACAGTGAACTCCAGCAGCAGCTCAAGGTAAGGAATGCTTCCCAGATTTGGATTCCCAGGCTTTTCCCCATTTTTCTTTGTTGTTGTTTGTTTTGGGGGAGAAGTTTGAAAGTTTTTCATTTTATGTAATTGATATATAATAATTGTATGTATTTATGGGGTACACAGTGGTATTTTGATACATATAATGTATAGTGATTAGATTTGACCATTAGCTTACCATCTGGTTCCATCCCTGTTGGTAAGACTTGTCTCTTTGTTGTCAAACCCTTTTTGGAAGGTAGAGAATTACTGTATTTAAGTTACATGGGTTTGACTCCTGCACTCTTAGAGGAAGACTAGTAACTTCAGTATGTAGGCTGCATCTTGTATGTGAGTTAAAAGGAAAGAGAATCTATTACAAAGGCTATTTGAAGCATTCTTTATTGTCCAAAGTTTCTGGGTAAGCCCTTAATTGTTTAGATCCTCTCTAAAAGATGCTATACTTATCTCAGTGGAAGGAAAATGGCCCCAGTACTGTCAAAGGCCTACCCCGCCCCTGGTACCTTGGCGATGGTTCCATCTCACCTTTTCAAGGACATCACCCCTGTCCTTACCACTCATTTCTCTTCATTATTGATCTCTCCTGTGTTAGTTTCCCAGAGCTGCCATAATAAAGTACTTCAAATTTGGTGGCTTAAAATAACAGAAATGTATTCACTCGCAGTTCTGGAGGCTAGAGCTCTGAAATCAAGATGTCAGCAGAGCCATGCTCTCTTTGAAGGCTCTAGGGGAGAATCCTTCCTTACCTCTTCCCAGCTTCTGGTAGTTGCTGGCAATCCTTGGCATTCCAAGGTTTATAGTTGTATAGTCTCTGCCTTCACTGTCACATGGCATTCTTCCTCTGTCTCTCTGTGTCTGTGTCCAAATTCCTCTCCTTATCGTGTCCTTTCTTATAAGAACATCAGTCATTGGATTAGGGCCCTCCCTGATCTAGCATGACCTCATCTTAACTTGATTACATCTGCAAAGATCCTATTTGCATGTGAGGTCACATTTACAGGTACCGGGAGTTAGGACTTGAACTCTTTTGAGGGGATACGATTCGACCCACTGCATCCCCTGATTCTCTACTGGATCATTCGCCATCCCACATAAACATGTTCTAGTATTGTCCATGGCCTTTGACCAATTACTGCCCTGTTTCTGTGGTCCCCTTCACAGCGAACTTTCATAGGAGTTGTTTTCATTCACTGTCTTTACTTCCTCACTAGTGGTTTTCTCTCCCTTCCACTTCAGTGTGGCTTCACTCTCTTCCACTCACACCCTTTTATGCCTAAATCCAATGGGCCTGTTTTAATATTAGAATTTCCAGAAGAATTCTATGCAATTGGCCATTCCCTCCTCTGTAATTGTTTTCTAATTGGCTTTTGAGATATAATGCTTTTTGGTTTTCCTTCTACTTAGCTGGTACTTCCTCCTTAGCATTCTCTGCTGTCTCTTCCTTCCTTGACTTCTGTTTTATACCCCCAACCTCCTTTGCCCCAATATTTTATTATGAACATTTCTAACATATAGGGAAGTTGAAAGAATCATGCAGTGACTACTTGTATGGACACCACTTCAGTTCTACCACTAACATTTTACTACACTCTACTTGTTGTATCACATATCTATCCATTCATCTATCCAGTCCATGAGTCCATCTTATTTTTGACATATTTTTAAGTAAATTGCAGACACTTGTATACTTTCCCTAAATATTTCAGCATAGATATCATTAGCTGGAGTTCAATATTTTTGCAGGTTTTTCTTATGATGTGAAATTTACATACAATGAATACACAAATATTAAATGTACATTTGCCACGTTTGTAACAAATGCGTATACTTATGGAACCCAAACCCCTATCAAGATAAAGAACATTACCATCACCCCAGGAAGCTCCCTCATGCTTTCTCCCAGTCAATTCCTGCTACCTACGTGAAGGCAACCACTATTCTAAATTTTTTATACCATAATTTTGCCTGTTCTGTAACTTTATGTAAATGGTATCCTATAGCATTTATATTTGTGTAAAGTTTCTTTCACTTAGTATTATGTCTTTGAGATTCATTTATATTGTTGTGTGTATCAGTAATTTATACCTTTTTATTACTGAATAGTATTACATTGAGTGACCATGTCACAATTTGGTTATCAATTCTGTTGATGGACACCTGAGCTGTTTCCAATTTTTGACAATTTTGAATAAAACTGCATTCTCGAACAAGTCTTCGTGTGGAAATATGTTTTCATTTCTTTTGGATAAATACCTAGGATTAGGATTAGTAGGTAATATGATAATTATATGTGGTTAGTTTATAAGAAGCTACTAGACCTTTTCCCAAAGTGGTTGTAGCATTTCGCACTCCCACCACTAATGTACAAGAGTTCCAATTGTTCCATGTCTTCACCAACATTTGGTTATTATTCTTTTAAATTTTAGCCAATCCTGTGGTGATATAGTTCTTATCATCATCTTCTTGTTCACTAATTATATTGATCCTTTTCTTTGTGATTATTTACCTTTCATATATCTCATATAAAGTATCTTTTCAAATGTTTGGGCCAGTTTTTGGATTGAGTTTTAGTCTTTGTTTTGGTGTTGAATTATAGGTAGATGCTTTTTGTATATCTTGGTTACCAGTCATTTGTCAAATATATTATGTTTTGTGAATGTTTTCTTCCAGTCTTTGTTTTGCCTATTCATTTTCTTAACTGTATCTTTTCATGAGCATAAGTTTTCAATTTTGTTAAAGTCTAAATTTATCATTTTTTCTTTTATGGTTATTACTTTCTTCCTATATATGGAGACTTTGCCTATCTCTAAATTTTGAAGATATTCTCTTATGTTTTCTAAAAGCTTTATTGTTTTAACTTTTATGTTTAGGATTATGATCCATCTTGAATTAAGTTCTGTGTATGGTGCAAGATTAGGGTCAAGGTTCATTTTTTCCCATTTCAATATCTAGTTGATCTAGCACCATTTGTTGAAAAGACCTTCCTTTCCTCCTTGGATTACTTTGGTATTCTTGTCAAAAATCTAATGACTGTATAAGTGTAGGTTTATTTCTAGGTTCTTATTCTGTTACATTAATCTATTTGTTGATCCTTATGCCAATACCACGCAGTCTTATTACTGTTGCCTTATATTAAGTATTAAAATCAGGTAATATAAATTTTTCAACCTGTTCTTCTTTTTTAAGATTCCATTGGATGTTTTAGTCCCTTTGTTTCATATACATTTTAGAATTGGTGTGTCAATTTCCACAAAATTAGCTTGCTGGGATTATGATTGGATTTGCATTAAATCTATAGATCAATTTAGGGAGAATCTGTATCTAAACAATGTTGAGTCTACCAATCTGCAAGCAGAGCACATCTGTACAATTAAGGTCTTCTAAAATTCCTCTCAGCAATTTTGAGTTTTGAGTACATAAATTTTACATATCTTTTGTTAAATTTATTCCCAAATGGTTTTTTTCATGACACTATTGCAAATTAAATTGTTTTTTAAAATTTCATTTTCTAATTGAGTTTATGAAGGTCACAGAATACAAGATCAACATACAAAAAAGCAGTCATATTCCTGTATACAAGCAATGAACTGTAATAGAATTTTTGGTAATTGGTAATAGAATTAAAAAAAATACCATTTCACAATAGCTTGTCCCCTCCCCCAAATGAAATACTTAGGTATAAATCTATCAACACACACACAGGATTCATGTGCTGAAAACTACAAAATGCTGCTAAAAGAAATCCAAGAAGGGCTGGGTGCGGTGGCTCACGCCTGTAATCCTAGCACTCTGGAAGGTGGATCGCTCAAGGTCAGGAGTTCGAGACCAGCCTGAGCAAGAGTGAGACCCTGTCTCTACTAAAAAAAAAATAGAAAGAAATTATCTGGACAACTAAAAATATATAGAAAAAATTAGCCGGGCGTGGTGGCTCATGCCTGTAGTCCCAGCTACTCGGGAGGCTGAGGCAGTAGGATCGGTTGAGTCCAGGAGTTTGAGGTTGCTGTGAGCTAGGCTAACGCCACGGCACTCACTCTAGCCAGGGCAACAGAGTGAGACTCTGTCTCAAAAAAAAAAAAAGACAGTATGGTATTGGAGGGACTGATGCATAGATCAATGGAACAGGATACAGAGTCCTGAAATAGACCACATTATTGCAGCCATTTGATCTTTGGCAAAGGTTCAAAATCAATTCAGTGAGAAGGGATAGTCTCTCAACAAATTATAATAATTGGTCATTCACATGTTAAAAAAATGTATCTTGACCTCACACCTTACGCAAAGATTAACTTGCAGTGGGTCATAGATATAAATGTAAAACATAAAGCTACAAAACTTTTAGAAGAAAACATAGGGAGAAAAATCTTCATGACCTGGGGTTAGAAATAACACCCAAAACACAATCTATAACAGAAAAAAACTCAATAAATTGGACCTCATCAAAATTAAAAACTTTTACTCTGCCAAAGACACTGTTAATAGAATTAAGAGACAAGCTACAGACTGGGAGAAAATATTTACGAAATCACATATTTGACAGAGGACTTGTATCTTGATTGTATAAAGAATACTTAAAACTCAATAATAAGAACTCTCAAAATTCAAACATCTCAATTTAAACCTGGCCAAAGGACTTGAATGGACACTTCAAAGAGTACATAAGGATGGCAAATAAACACACGAGAAGATACTCAACGTCATTAGCTATTAGGGAAACGCAAGTTTAAACCATGATTACATACCACTACACACACATTAGAATTGCTAAAACAAAAACTAGTGACACCACCAAGTGCTGGCAACTGGAACTCTCATCCATTGGTGGTGGGAACACAAAATGATACCACCACTCTGAAAAATTGTTTGGCAGTATCTTATGAAGTTATACACGCACTTACCATGTGACTTGGCAATCTCAATCCTGCGTATCTACCTTAGTGAAATGAAAACTTATGTTTACTCAAAAAATCTGTACGTGAACATTCATGGCAGTTTTATTTATGATAGCCCAAACCTGGAAACAACAAAAATGTCCTCCAAAGGACGAATGGATGAAGTGAGGATGTTCATACAGTGGAATGGTACTCAATAGTAAAAAGGAATGATACACATGGCAACCTGGATGAAACTCAAAGACATTATGCTGAGTGAGACAAGCCAATGTCAAAAGGTTGTGTACCATATGATTCCTTCTATTTGACATTCTTGAAAAGGAAAAACTATAGTGATGGAAATGAATCAGTGGTTGTCAAGGGATACACATGAGGTGAGAGTTTGTGTATAAACTCCCTGGAAGTTTTTGGGTTGGTGGTACTGTAATGTATCCTGTTTGTGGTGATGATTACACAGATTTACACGTGTTAAAATTCATAGAACTATATATTAAAAGGAAAAAAATGGTCAATTTTACCCTATGATAATTTTAAAAATAAAATTATTTTTTAAAATGTCAAAATTCATTCTGTTTTATCAATCTTTGTGAGTGACCTTTTTGTTTTGTGTTTTGTTTGGGTTTGGTTTTTCTCTCCTCTCCTGCTTTGGAGTAGGTCAGTTTCATCCATTGTTCTCTATACTTGGTGAGCCCTTTCAATTTGGAAACCCATATTCTTCAGTTCTGAGAGTTTTCTTGATTTTTCTTGTTGTTGATTATTTCCTCCCCCTTGCCCTCTGCTGCCATTTTTTTCTGTTCTCCTTTGCTGATGTTATTCAGACATTGGACCTCTAATTTTCTCTTCTGTTTTCTTGCTTTTTTCTTCCTACCTTCTCTTCTTTATTTTTGTCCATTTCTGGAGACTTACTTAATTTTGAATTCTAAATCTCCTATTGTTTAATACCCAAGAATTCTTTTTTTGTTGTTCTCTGGTTGTTTACTTTTGATGATGTTGTATTCTTGTTTCATTGTTGTAATGTCTTCTTTTAATGGTAGTTTTTTTCTTCCTGAATAGTTACTTTTTTTGTTATGGTGTGTGCCTCTTAGATACTTTCCTTCAATACCTGATAGCCCTTCTTTGCTCATATTTAAGAGGAGGATGAAAACGCTGATTGGAAGTTGGTAGCGCATTGGAGAGGCTTGTCAACTTTGAGCTTCACTCTCTGGCAATCTGGCTGGGCTGTATAGTTGGGGAACCCCGAAAGGCAGTATCATTGGCTCTTTCCTCTTGGTCTGGTTGGAGTAGCCAGAGGAGACTGTCTTGGTCACCTGCATGGAGGGAAAGAGCTGGTTGACTGGAGCCACAGGGCCATGGGTCTCAGCCTCCAGGATATACATTTACTCTCCCTATTTCCAGCCCAGTATCTTGTCTATATCTGTGCTTGCAAATCCAAATGCTGTTTTACCTTTTCAAGAAATAAATGTTTAGCATTCTGCTCTGGTGGCAGGGAAGATCTGAGCATCTTATTGCTTCTGAAACAGATTTTCAACCAACCTTTATTTATCCAATGCCCCACCCCTTATTCACTCCCACTTTCATAGGTATCTGGTGCTGCCAATTTGAGTCCTCCGCGGGTTCTCCTATGGAAAATCAGATCGGTTCTTGTTTTTCTTCATGCTTAGCTTGTGATTCAGTTTTCTTTACTTGATCTGTGTGAGCGGGAAAGTTCTAGGTCTAGTGAACAGAAGTCTGAAGAATCATTGAAACAGAACTCTAGTTATAGCCCCTCAATTAATACCCAGACTAAGCCAGTTTATAGATCCAGAACCTTTTTAGTGAAGGGGCATCTGGGTCTCCTTAAGGAAGGGCCCCACTATGCCACCAAAAAGTTATACTGTAAATCTTCTAACCTTTCCCAAAAGGGCCTGTGGCCATTTACCAGGGTGACTATACTTTGGGGGAAAGGAAATAATCAGATCTTTGGGGGATTCCTGGACACTGGCTCTGAACAGACACTAATTCCATGAGACGCAAAGTGTCACTGTGGCCCACCAGTCAGGGTAGGGGCTTATGGAGGTAGGGTGATAATGGAGTTTTAACTTAGGTGCATCTCACAATGGGCCCAGTGGATTCACAAACCCACCCTGTGGTTTCCCTAGCTGTAGAATGTATACTTGGAATAGACATACTGAGCAGTTGGCAGAATCCCCACATTTATTTCCCTGGATTTGCTAAGTCATTTACCATTCATCAGTTTGCCCTTTAGCTTACAAATTTTATTGTTATCATCTTTTCCCTTTTGTTTTCCCTGTCTTGTGGGTCTGTGACTTTGAAGTTTCTTTATTGTTTTAGTGGAGCTCTAGGAGGGAGTATGACACCTATGGTCAATCTTCCATCTTCCCTTGAAACGTCTAGATATACTGTTTTCCTTGATGATGTTATATAGTCCCATGGCTTTGAAGACCATCCATAAGCTAGTGAGACCAAAATTTACGTCTCAAGCCCTACTTCCCTTTCCTTTGAGCTCTAAACATGTGCACACAACTCTTTACTCAATGTTTTCTCCTTACATATCTAATATACAACTCAGATAATTAATTCCCAACCCTCTCCTTGAAATACCCATTTCTTATCTAATCATCTTATTCTCAATGAATATCACTACCAGCCACCCATTTTCTTAATCCCCAAATCCCAGAAGTCATCCTCAAATTTTCCTTCTCTCCTACGTCAACTTTATCAGCAAGTCCTATCAGTTCTAGATTCAAAATATATCCAGAATTCATTCACTTCTCTTCATCTCTGTGGCTACTATCCTGATTGGAGCCATTTTTTATTTCTCACCTGGGTCCATGCAATAACCTTCCAGTTGCTCCCCTGCTCCCACTCTTGCCCTACTATAATCCACTGTCTACATAGTAGCCAGAATGAAAATTTTGAATTATAAATTGGCTCATGTTCCTTCCATGATTAGAAGCTGTCAATGCCATCCCTCCCACACTTTGAAGTCCACAGTCCTTCCTCTGTCCCACAAAGCCCTCTATGACCTGGATCCTGCCTAAATCGCTGACTTCATCCTGCCATGTCTTCCTTGCTCCCTCTGCTCTGGTCACACGGGCCTTTCTGTTTATCAAACCCACCAAGCTTATTCCCTCCCTCAGGGGCTTTGCGGTTGCCGTGTTGTCTCCCTGAATAGCCTTCCCCCATTTTTTCATATTGCTCACTCCTCACTTCATTCAAGTCTCTACTCAAGCAGCATCGCCTTGGAGAAGACTTCCCCGATCCCCCTCTCTGCTTTCTCCCAGATTCCTCTCTGTTATTCTCTATGACATCATCTTATTTATTTCCTCTGGAGGTATCTTATTCATTAACTTTATTATCTTTTCCTAGCCATTTGACTATAAGCCGTATGAGGGCATTGGTCAGATCTGTCTCATTCTTTGCTGACATCATCACAGCTAGAGCAGTATCTGGCCCACAGCAGATAGATACTCAAGGACTATTGGATGGGTGGACAGGAAGGTGGGTGAATAAATACTTGTTAAGTTCTATACTGACTACTAGCATGTTGGTTCTTATAGAACATCTCAGAATTGAGCCTTTATACAGTATTCTTTCCCACCTTGACTGATTCTACTTGAATGCCTTTATGTGTCCCCTCTCTCCCTGCCAAAAAATCTGTTTTAGGCCTGAAAGTTCAAATTCCCAAATAACAAACAGATCACTCATCTCCCTTTCTGCCCTTTCACTCAGATGTCACACACTTTGTGCAGGAACCTGGATGGGACTTTGGCGGAGAGATGACCGGTGTACCTTTTCATCCCTCAGACCTGACTGAGTGTGGTGCTGGAATAGAAGCCAGAGATTGACACTAGAAATTTAGTCCTGATGGTTCACACCTCAGTATTGGGAGTCTGCTTTTGCTATCTGCCGTCTCCCAATCAGTCTTTTAATTTTTAATGTCATTCTTTGCCAGCTACTAATCCTATTAGAACAGGATGAGGCTAAGGCAGAGCAGTGGAGATGGGTTGGTCAGTTTCATTTCATCATCTTCAGGAAGGAGTTGAGAGATTACAAATTATGAAGCCCCCCTTGTCTGGTCACCAGCTTTAAATCTGGTGCCTTCCAGTCCACCAGTTCTTGAGTTATGTAGCATAGCACTTAAGTATTTGTGGTCCAGTTATAAGTTTCCTTTTAATATCTGATGAAGTAGGGATGAATCCTGGAAATGACCCCTTTTTTGTTTTTCTTCTTTCTGTTTTGTATGACTCAGGAGGTTCATCAAGAACGGATTGCATTGGAAAACCAATTGGAACAACTTCGTCCAGTCACCGTGTTGTGACCCCCATGGTTCCAGTGACAGTGAATAATCTCATCTGCCAAGATCTTTCTTTCTTGTTCGAATGTTTGAACCCTACTACTTGTCATAGATGTTTGACTGTGTCAAAAGCTGTGAGCAGCAAAATATAATCCATATGACCTTTTCTCTTGTATCTCACTTGTACATTTTACTGTGGTGGAAAATACTTCAACTGATTATCACACTTAACATTGTAATTATCAGTGGAATTTCTCTCCCATTCTTAAGTACTTCCTCAAGGTGTTAGATGCTGCTCCTTACCAAAAATCAGTCTTCTAGCAAATAAAAATAATTTAGAGCATTATTTATTTAAAGAATTTATGATTTGCACAAAAACTTATAACCAAGTACCTTCAGGATGCTTGTTTTATTTTTGTATGTATATCACATACAGTAGGTTGGTTTCCTGAATAATTAGGATTCCAACTGGATTGTCTTTGGCATGATGATAATAAAAACAAAAGCTAAAATAGAATAAAAGCATCAGATTTAGACTGGCGCCGTGCCCTCCACCACTATATGCCAAAAATTGCTTCTCTAGTGCCATTTTGATATTATATCTAGCTATAAATAATACATGACTATTGTTTTCTATTGAATGTCAAAGACTTATTGGGTCTTTACACTCTGTAAAGTGGAGGTTTTGGCAATGAGCTATTTAACTTGGCCAATCTAAGCCATCAACCCAGATAACTCAGTCCTTTCATGTAAATTTTTGGGCGAAAGCAATCTACTTTAACTGCCTCACCCGATCAAATTAAATAAATAGTTGCCAGCTCTCTACTTTTATCCGGCATGGGATAACATATCTGTAAATGCATGAGTTTGGAAACCACCCATCAAATATGAAAGGCTGATGAGACTGTTTGGATTGATAAACATTTGTTTTTTGAACCCAGGTATCCAAACTGGAGAAGAAAGGGAAATGATTGTTACCTATAATCTAATAATCTCTGGTAGTTATTTTCATCAACCTGGATTGCAAATGTATTGGGTATGAAGAATTAATGAAAGGAAGTGGTCTTCATGCTGGATATATGATTGTTTTGTTCTCTGTACAGTGTATCCTTGGGAAGTGATTGGTTTATATCAGGTTCAGAGGAGCCCAACTAACTCCAGTATAGATGATGTAAAACAATAAACTCAAACTGCAAAAGCCAGTAACCTATAGAAATTGTAGTAGCTATTGCTTCTTCTGAAAGCTCAAGTTGAAAGTGGGAACACAGGGTCACAGGGTCACTGACCCTCAGAAGGCATGCCAGCTTTAACATCGCTTTGAGAGAAACTAATGGCAAGAAATGCTATCTCTCATGCATTTTGCTCATTTCCCCATTCTTAGGATAGTGGAGTAGGGTGTGCCCAGGGTCCTTTTCGAAGTTTAGATAGGTGTGCAATATGTAGGATTAAGCCTTTGATTTCAATAGAGCTGAGAGCTTTCAGAAGAAGTAGGCATTTATTTAATGCTTCCTTATTCCATTGGCAAGCTTTATCAATAGCTTAACAGCAGAGCAGAAAGGCTCACACAGATGATGTTTTTCCAAAGAAAAACAAATTGTGAATCTATTCCATGCATGTTTAAGGATTTTGAATTGCTTTTGAAAATCACGAAACTTGAACTATTTCTCTATTTCCTTTTTTCTTCCCTTTTGGCTGCCTTTTTTGTTCTTGTGGGGGAAGGGTTGGGAGTGAGTTTAAACCCTTCCTAAGATTATAAATGGGTCAGTGCAGATTTTTAGGTAATCTCTTTTCCCATCTTCTGAGATCTGGGGGCTGCAACACATTTTATCAGCAGTGTTCTTATTGCAGACATTTCACAGCGTGTTTGGCTTTCCAGGAAAGACTAGCATATGCACTTTATCTCATAATCTTCCAGTACATATGCACTCACTTGGGATAGCATTTCATAACCATTAACCAGACGTATAAACTAAGGAATGTTAGCCTACACTATGCATTTTAAAAATATTGACATGCTTTTTTTCCCCCGTGAAGTCAATGCCAGAGTGAGTCAAATTAGGATGTTGGAGTTTTGTTTAGTTGGCTTGGTTTTCATTAAAGGAAAACACTTGCATTGGACAATCAAAGTCCCCTAAGTTTCATAGTCTTACCAGTATTTTATGATAGGCATTGCATTAAAGCACACACCAATACTATCTATACCCAACCTTCTTGACTGGACTTAATTGTGACTACAGTTTATTAGTTGCTTAGAAGTAGATTTTTTAAAAAACAAGTATTTGTGTGTGTATATACATACACATACAACTATTATTATTACCTAACTAGTGCTCATCCTCTATTTCTCTGTTGTCTTAGGATGTGCACTTTTCATTTAGGATTATAATGCCTGATGATGTTTCTGTGAGCCTTTAATGTGATTTATAGGAAGGCTGGGTTATTGAAATCACCATTATACCTCTTCTATAAAACAGCTCCAAAATTAGACCTGCTTGTTGGGGAGAATTCTGTAGACAGAAGGTCAGTGTTGCCCCATCCACGGGGGTTGAATTACCTTCTTGTTAAGTGGTCTTCCCCCACTGGGATTTTACAGTCCCACAGATGAAAGCACAGTAGGAGCTGATAGTGGGCTTATGGGGTCCCCCAGCATCTCTTGTATGTGGCATATTGCTTTTGCCACCTTCGTATCCAGCAGACACTGAAGCAAAACCAAAAGGTAGATATCCGGAATGAATATGTATGTTGTAATCAAGGAAGATATTTGCCTTAGTTGGAACGGTCTAATTGTTTTACAAATATTAAGTAAGTGCTTGGGCCCAATTGAAAGAGGAGGCAGCTTAGCTGGAAGCTGTGCCCATCTTACTACCACTGGAGAATAAGATATCAGAGTTGGGCAGGGCTGGTATCCATTTCCTACAGTTTGCATGTGGGGAAACCAATGCCCTATGAAACAGCAGTTCCTGGCCCAAGAATCCATAGAAAGAGGTAGCTAGTAGCAGCTTTGGGGTGCCAGCCTGATTTTATGGATTCTGAGTTAGGTCTCCCACCCTCTATCAATACTAAAAATAGATTAGAAGCCTTTTTCTATTTGTCATGTTGAATTTCATTGACTTAATTAGTCCTTAAATATGAAAACATGTTTTAAGGAGTTTAGATCTAGAAATTCCTCTTGGATTCAAGTGAAATATAAAATCTGAAGGAAAAGAATATGATTGAACTATTTGTTCTTCTGAACCACCTCACCTTTCATGATGCAATAAATTGCTCTCAGTTTCTTGGCAGAACTTTTGACAGCTGTTGCTTTCAATGGATTCCATTCCTGTATTCCTTATGGGAGTTTGTTTTTAAAATAGACTACCGTGATTGAAACGAACTCAATATGTAGTAAGTTATAGTTTTCTTCAATGTAGCTTTGGTTACTTGGGTTGCAAATGTTCAATTTCAGCATATTTTTGGGTGAGTAATCAAAAACACGAATTTTCCTTTGATTTCTTACCAATGTCTGAACTATCATAAAGCATTCTTCTCTTTAGATGTGATTTGATTCTATAGTCTATTTCTAAATGATATTTGTCTGTTTCTTAAATGATCTCACAACCATGGTAATAATAGATATGTACTCAGAAGATCAATAAGGTAATATCTGGAATTGATGTGTTTTTTGCAGTGAAGGCAAGCATTTGCAAATGTCTTCTTTTGAGCAGTAGTTGGAAAGATCTCAATTACAGTATAACACCTTAGAGCTAAAAGCATTTGTTCAATACAGACTAGAATCACACCTTCTGACTAGGTATCACCAAGGGAATGTGATTTTTAAAGTATAAAAAAAGAATTTAATATAACAACTAGATTCTCCCATATTATTGACAAGTTGGGCTTGTTAGGTTATGGTTTGAACATTATGAATGTGAACAAAATGAAATAGCAGTTAAGAGGTCTTTTTCCCCTCTATTTAAATAGAACACTAGTAACTTTGGCTTCTCTTTCTAACCGGTTTACTCTGTTTCAAGTGTGTTCTTTTCAAATTCTGATTTCAAAGGATCAGTTGAACTTATATTTTTATTATGGATGCTTTGTTAGGATTTTTTGCATCATGACTCAGTGTGGTTCAAATTCCTAGTAAGAAGTGGGGATTTGGGTTTTGGGAGTCCTCAGCTGGCACGTCTTGTTCCTCCCTGATTGCGCACTAACACTGACAGATTCATCACTGATGGCGATTTGAATGTGAGTATCACTCTGTGGGCCACCCTGCTTTGCTTGTTTTTAAGGAGAAATGTATCTGGTGTTGTGAACCTCCTAAGAGCAGCAGACTTTAAAAGCAATGCAAGCAGATTCTAAGAGCTGCTGTCCTCCCCCAAAATAGGCTTTCGGATGCTGCCTTACTTACACACATGCCCTGAAGTAGCCAGTCTGTTAGTGTGAGCAAAACATCGCAGGTGCACAGTTGCTTGTAGGCTTGTATAGTTATTTTCTACATTTACTAACACACATGGTCATAAAGGAGCCTTTTCTAAGAGGCATGCAGGGTTTCAATAGACAGGACTTATTCTAGTTACAGAAGCCTTGATCCGTTGTCAACAATTGGGGAATGCTTATTTTTCATGTTTTGTGAATTCTCCTGTCTTACTGTAAGCTAATTTCATGGCTCTGGAAGGTTGGAGAAAGTGGGTTTTTGACTCTGAAGACCAGAGGACACCAGACTTTAGGAGGGCTTAAATTGGAGTTTGGGGACTATATTAAGGATACCTTTATGTACTAATTCCATCCGAAAGCACTCTGTTGGACAACAGGACTAGATGCTAAAGCTCCTTCAGGGAACTCTGCTTTGGGACTAGAACAGTTGATGTGATAACCCCATTGTGTGAATATTGGATCAACTGAGTTGTGTTTTTTTTTTTTTAAGTCAACTTGTATGAGAGTGTCAGCTGCACCTCTCTTGGGAACCAGGTATACCCTTTTCTTTAACACTGCCATCCTTTTTGTCTTCAGCACAAATAAAATGTTCAAGTGAGCCAGAGGCGAGACGAGCCACTTTAGTCTT